GCTAGTCCAGGTGCGAGAATTAGCCTGTAAGGGCTAGAGTTCATGGGCCAAGCAGTTCTTAAATGAATACAGTTTGCGTGTTGTTATTTCGGGCATGAGCTAGCCAAGCGGCCGGGGTGTTGGGGACGCAGCCCTGCCGCTCATATTTCAACACCTCAGCAATTCGGAGCACTTGTTGTGCTTGTCAAAGCCAAGTTCAGTTCCCAGCACCCACATCAGACAGCTCACGAGCGCCTGTAAGTCCAGCACGAGTCAGCCACTGCCTTTTTCTCAAGGCTCCTGGACACATATAGCACACACCCACACAGATACACAGACACATAGACAAACAAACACACATGTGCAGATAAGTACATAAATATAGTCCCTGGGAGCCTGGGAGCCTTGAAACTCCAAGCATTTGGCAAACCCAAAGCCAGCTGGCCAGTGCAAACAGGGGCAAAGTGTAGGTCACCCTCCACCCCACTGCAGCCAGCTCTCCTGGGCCTTCCCACAGGTCCTACTTGGTTCCTTCAGCCCACGGACATGCATCATCCAGGTGCCCCAGCCGATGTCGTGCTATGACGCTCACCTCTCAAGGAGGGTCCATGGCTCCTTGCTTCTGGCTTGGCCCTGGTTCCGTCTGCATACAACCTGGTCTCTAATTTCTTCCACACCACCAGCCAGGCGCCCTTCTCCTGGGCACCATAGTCTCAGACCATTTTCACTCCCATCCTGATTTCCTGGTGCTGCCATTTCCTTTTCTATTACCCCCTTCCTCAGTTAGCAGTCAGGTGCCTGGAACCTCGGCCACACGCCCGGCTTCTGTGTAGTGTATCTTCCGCTTGTCCTCACACACACACACACACACACACACACACACACACACACACACACACACACTTCTGAGGGCACGCACATGCACGTACCCCCCCCCACATATGCATAATTTAAAATTTTAAAGAACTTTTTGGTTACTTTGAGACAGGGTCTCTTAATATAGCCTTGGCTGTTCTAGAACTTGCAATGTAGATGAGGCTGGCCTTGAACTCACAGAGATCCTGCCTGTTTTTGGTGCGCTGGGATTAAAAGCTTGGTTACCATTCCTGGCCAAAATAAGTCTTTGCAACGTGTAATTTAAAAGTTTGTTCAGTGGGAATGGTGGCGTGCTCCTTTAATTCTGGAGCTCTGGATGTAGAGGCAGGCAGTTCTTGGTGAGTTTCAGGACAGCATGGTCTACATAGTATGTTTCAGGACAGCCAGTGCCTGTCTAAAGAAAAAAAATTATTAAGAATAGACAAGAAAGCCGGGCAGTGGTGGTGCACTCCTTTAATCCTAGCACTCGGGAGGCAGAGGCAGGTGGACATCTGTGAGTTCAAGGCCAGCTTGGTCTACAAAGTGAGTTCCAAGACAGCCAGAGCTACTCAGAGAAACCCTGTCAGGAACACTACTCTACCCCACACACACACAGAAAAAAAGAAAAGAAAAGAAAAATGAAAAGGAAAAAGAGAAGACCAGTGCAGTGGCATTGCCTGTTATTCCAGCAACTGGGAAACTGAGGCAGGAGGATCTTGAGTTAGAGGCTAGCCTGGGCTATGAGCCAGACTCTATGACAAGTGCAGGTGATTCATTCTCAAAGCCACCTTCTCCTACTGTGGGCTGTGGCTCAGGAAATCACTGTAAATATACTCCACTTTTTCCTGGGGAGCCTTCTGGTGATTCGCTTGTTTTATTTTGTCCATGTGTGTGGATCAGCAGAGGTTTGAATGGAATCGGGATCCATAGCCCCATAGGGAGTAGCGCTATTAAGAGGTGTGGCCTTAGTGGAGGAAGCGTGTCCTGTGGAGGTCTCAAAGGCTAACGTTAGGCCTAGTATATGTCAGTCTCCTGCTACCCACTGATCACGACATAGATCTCTCAGCTCCGTTTCCAGCACCGTGTCTACCTGCACGTCACCCTGCTCTTCCCAGGACAACAGTGGATTAAACCTCTGAAACTGTAAACCAACCCCAATTAGATACTTTCCTTTATAAGAATTGCCGTGGGGGGGCTGGAGAGATGGCTCAGTGGTTAAGAGCACTGCCTGCTCTTCCAAACGTCCTGAGTTCAATTCCCAGCAACCACATGGTGGCTCACAACCATCTGGAATGAGGTCTGGTGCCCTCTTCTGGCCTGCAGACATACACACATTGTATACATAATAAATAAATATATAAATATTTAAAAAAAAAAAAAAAGAATTGCCGTGGTCACGGTGTCTCTTCGCGGCAATAGAAACCCTAACTAAGACAAGGGACAACCTTGGGTGTCATTCCTCAATGGCTCTCTGTCCTGTTGGAGGCAGGGTTCCTGCTTGCCCAGAGCTGGACGGACACAATCAGATGCACGCCAGCCAGCTGCAGACGTGCATTCACGTAGTCACAGCCTCCATCACCTGTTCCCATCTATGTGTATAGGCACATATGTATATGTGACTCAACAGCCTGAATTGCTTTCTAAGTTTATAAATCCTGTCTGCTGAGATGGTTTCTCATGCTAAAACTAATTGTCAGGGGGCACTGACTAGCCAAGGCTGGACCGTGGTTCCTACAGTCTATGTACTGTATGCCAACATGGAGCAACAAGAAGGGGATAGCCCACATACACTAAGAACAAACTTGTATCTGGGTGGTGGTGGTGCATGCCTTTAATCCCAGCACTTGGGAGGTAGAGGCAGGCGGATCTCTGTGAGTTTGAGGCCAGCTTGGCCTACAAAGTGAGTTCCAGGATAGGCTGGGCCATAATGAGAAACTATGTCTCCAAAACAAAGAAACAAACAAACTTATTTTTCTCTTTTTTGGCAGTGTCTCCTGTAGCCCAGGCTGACCTTCAACTCACCACGTAGCTGAGGCACTCTTGGGGATAATCCCCCTCAGTCTCTAAAGCGCTGGGATGATAGGCGCACCGTGATTGGTTTTCTTTCCTTCCTTCCCTTCCCTTCAATTTCCACCCTGTCCTTTTGACAGCCGCATCCAGTAGTCCAGGCTAGATTGGAAGTCACACCCAGGCCATGGTGGCCTAGTTCTTGGCAATCTTCCCTGCCTCTCAGCTTCCTGAGGTTGGCAGGCATGGGACATCACCACACCCTGCTTCTGCCAATAAAGTTTTATTGCTTACAACCTTATCCAGGCTCATTTACATATCCCTCAGGGCTCTCCGCCTTGTTGCAGTGGAAATAAACCCTGGAAAAAGACCCAGTTCGCACAGCCAGAAACTCTCACCAGTTAGGTCTCTCTGGTCCCCCAACCTCTACACAGAAGAGCATGCAGAGACAGAATAAATACATGGACAAATAAGATATATTAGGAAAAATTAAAAACAAGGTCAGGTGTGATGGCAGGCGCCTTTGATAGTACTTGGGAGACTGAGTTCGAATGGGGTGGATATGGATCTCGAGATCGCTGTCTGGACTACAGAGTGAGCCCCAGACAAAAGCAAAGAACCAAATGGATTCATACTGAGGAACGTTTCATTCTCATTTTGTGAAACACCGGACTGCGCGTGGAAATGTCCCAGTGGCTGAGGGTGTGAGGTCTCCCTGTCCTGGGCTGTGTGGTGACCAGGTGTGATGGGCGCTACTGCCCACTAGGGCTGCACGATGGGCATTTGGAGCTGAAAGGCCGAGGCCCAGTCAAACCTGACTTAGTACACGCTAGGGACCTTTTATTGGGGACCCACCATAACGGACTAAGATGTCTAGAGAATTTCTGGGCCATAAGGGCGTCTGGGAGAGCAGAAAGAGTAACTGTAGAAACCCAGTTCTCTCCTGCCTCTCCCAAATGGTCGAACCAGTTTCAAATTTGTCTGAACACTAGGTGGTAACGGAGAACCATGGACAGACCACGCAGAAACAAGCCCCTTATTGGGGATTCTAGGCAGGAGGAGGGGCTCCACCCTGACCACACCCCAGCCCCTCCCTGGGGGGTTCCAGGCAGGGCAGAGGTCACATGACAACTTTTGATTCTCTCCTTCTAGCATGTCAGCCCCAGAGATTGAATTCAGGTTGTTGGTTTTTACCCCAAACCATCTTATCAGTCATTTCTGCATTTTGTTGCTAGGAAACACAGACGCACACAGAAACACACACATGCACGCACACACACACATGCACACACACAAGTGTGCCTTGTATCTGCCAAGCTGAAGCTCAAAGTCTAGTTTTAGGTACGAAGCTAGTTTCCAGCTATCTTGGTCCCCTGGAGCACCTGTTGGCGTCTCCGCGTCTCCCCACAAGGCTGTGTGGATCAGATGAGATTGTGGAGGGGAAAGGTCTGTACGATGTACACACAGCAAACGCTGAGTAAAAGCTAGCATTGGGTGTGGTGGGTGCGGGCTTCCAGTCCCAGCGTTCGCATCCAAACGCCAGAGGACACGCGTGGCAGCTAGCCCGGGCTGCATGTTCCAGAACCTGTCTCCAGAGAAGGGAAGTGATGATGCTTGCTGTGGTTAAGCAGCTGTCTTCCAGGCAGTGACAGCGAGCTCGTGTCGCCTCCTCTACCTACCTTCATCTTTCAAGTTTCTCCAACACTGTCGCTGCGGATGACGACTGAAAGCTGAGTACGCCCAGTGCTGTGTGTCAGCAGGCACAGGAAGGTAAAAATCGCAGTGGTTCAAATAGGATCATGGAAGGGGAAAAGTGGGATGCGTTGAATATCCTTGGCTGGAGGATTGCAGATAAAAGGACAGGCATCCTTACTTCCTCCAGAAAGTCTGCCTAGGTTCAACCTCACTGACTCCAAAAGCCTCCTCTGGGAGTTCTAAAGGCTGCCAATGCACCCACCATCACAGCACCATTCCTCAGAAGTGAGTCTAAAAACCTACCATTGATCTCAGTTCTACATGATGACGAATGAATGAATGGATACAAGCTGAGACAGCCAACTGCTCTTACAAGATTCCCTGCGGAGGAGCTGTGTCTTAATCCAACATTCGGTAAACCTTTCCCATCCCACCCTGGCCAGAGCCCCTGCCCAGGCCCTTACCGTATTGTAGAACTCAGCCACCAGTTCCGAGTGCTGGAAATTACTCTCGCACCAATCCACCTCAGAGCTCTGGTAGGCAAAGATGCTGGACATCTTTGCTCTGGAATCGGTGCACGCGTCTTGTGCCTGGCAGAGGCGCGCCAGCCGAGTGAGCCTACAAGTGCCCAGCCCAGGCGAGGTGGGGACAGAACAGCTCAGGGCCCCCGGAGCAGGCTGAGAGGAAAAACCTGCTGGGCGGCTCAAATATTGCACCAGGTAGCCTGGCAGATGTGCACGGTAGGGCACCGAGGCCGCCCTGGGCAGCGGCTGAGGGGGTGGTGCTGTTCGGGTTGGGCGACAATGAGAAGGGTGGAGGCCACCCAAGCAGGCACTTGAGGAGCAAGACGTGAAGGGACTAACAGCTTTAATACTGTGTATTAATACTTTGATACAGAGCAGCGCCCACTGGGTAGAGTGCTCCGAGGTCTACCCCAGCACCCACGGAACTAGTTGTGGTGGACACGCTTGTCACCCCAAAGTTCAGTAGCAGAGGCAGGAGGATGGGGCATTTAAGGCTGGACTGGGCTACGTAGTGAGGACCTCATCTCCAAAGAAAAAGTAAAAATCAGGCTAAGGTGCTGGAGAGATGGCTCAGGGGTTAAGTGTAACATCGGCTGCTCTCCCAGAGGACCTGGGTTCAGTTTCCAGCACCCGCACGGTGGCTCACAGCCATCACCCATAACTTGGTTCCAGGGGACCGGACTCCCACCTTCCGGCCTCCGTGGGACACCAGTCACGCACGTGGTACACAGACGTACGAACAAGCAAATGTTCAAGCACATAGAATAAAATAGCACTTTAAAAATGTCTCAGGAGGAGCAGGGCTGGACTCTGTTGGGGGGCGGGGGGCACTGACCTGGCGTGTAGGAAGCCCCGGGATCCATGGCGGGAGATGACAGCACACACCTGTCAACCCAGTATTCAGGAGGTGGGGGCAGAAAGATCCGGAGTTCAAGGCTACAGAGTAAGTCTGAGGCCAGACTGAGCTAATGAGACCCCATCTGGGAGGCAGAGGCATAGGGGTCCCTCTGAGTACAAGGCCAGCCAGGTCTACATAATGAGTTCCCTGGGCTACACAAAGAAACCCTGTCTCAAAAAAAAAAAAAAAAAAAAAAAAAAAAAAAAACAAAAGAACCAACCAAATAAACAAACAAAAAAAAAATCACCAAATAATAAGTCTGCAGAGGTTCAACAGTTCCCGTTTTGCAGTCAGGGAGTAACCTTCCATGGTGGTAAAAGCTCTGGTTGGCTTTTTTTTTTTTTCATTGGTGTTTGGGACAGGCTCTCACGGTGTAGCTCAGGCTGACCTGAAACTAGCAATTCTCCTGTTTCAGCCTTCTTAATTCTGAGTTGGCAGAAGTGAATTCCCATCGACTCTTGACTCAATTATCTGGCTGTCATAGAGAACCGGGGCATGTCCCCCGCATCTATCCCCATTGGGCTTAGCTCTGCCCTCTTGGAGACCTTCCTGTGTGGCCCTGCGCTGTGGAATGTCCCTTGAGCAGCAGGTTGTCTTCCCGCGGAAGTCATCTAGGGATGAGGGAACCTGGAGACATCCCACGTGGGGTTCCTGAGTCCTGACTTCTCAGGACTGAGGGAGAGACTGCAAAGCACCTACCTGGTTTCCTAACTTGGGCCATGAATTCACCTCTCTGATTCTAAATTTGCTCTCCTGTGGTTTAAGGGGGTTGATAACCAGCTGCTGAGCACAAGCAGGGCTTCGCCTCCATACTCTACGGCAGTAATCCTTTTCATATGCATTGCATTGGTGCATTTATTTATTTGGTGCCTGTGCAGGTCCGAGGACAACTCTCAGGACTTGCTCTTTCTACTGAGAGGCTGGTGGCCAGGGCCGGCAGCAAGTGTCTTTACCCAGAGTCCTGTGGTGCAGCCAGTGAGCTTGCTCCTTGAGGACACCACACACAGGTATGTGCTTTCTTCCCCACCCCCCCCCACCTTTTTTTGTTTAGTTTTCTGGGTTTTTTTGTTTGTTTTTTTTTTTTTTGTTTTGTTTGTTTTTTTGTTTTTTTTTGAGACGGGTTTCTCTGTGTAACAGTCTTAGCTGTTCTGGAACACACTCTGTAGACCAGGCTGGCCTCAAACTCACAGAGATCCACCTGCCTCTGCCTCCTGAGGGCTGGGATTAAAGGTGTGCACCACCACTGCCCAGCTGGGCTTGATTTTCTGCCTGCATAAGTATAGAATTTAGGATGGACTCCAACATACCATCCCCCTGCCTCAGGCTTCCAAGTGTTGGGATAACAGGCTTGGACAACCATACTCTGCTTTAAGTTGTTATTTTCCTGTATATAAGAACTCTCTCGGGGCTGGAGAGATGGCTCAGTGGTTAAGAGCATTGCCTGCTCTTCCAAAGGTCCTGAGTTCAATTCCCAGCAACCACATGGTGGCTCACAACCATCTGTAATGGGGTCTGGTGCCCTCTTCTGGCCTGCAGGCATACACATAGACAGAATATTGTATACATAATAAATAAATAAATAAATAAATAAATAAATAAATAAAAAAAGAACTCTCTCAGGGGGCTGGAGAGATGGTTCAGAGGTTAAGAGCCCTGACTGCTCTTCTAGAGGACCTGAGTTCAATTCCCAGCAACCACAGGGTGGCTCACAACCACCTATAATGAGATCTCGTGCCCTACATGCCAGAGCACTGTATATATAATAAATAAATCTTTAAAAAAATAAACCTCTCTCTCTGTGGTGTTAATGATTGGGATGAGTGTCTTACTGGGGGATTCTAGGCAGGGCTTCACCCTGACCACGCCCCCAGCCCTTCACTGGGGATTCTGGGCGGGGCTCCACCCTGACCATGCCCCAGCCCCTCACTGGGGATTCTACGAAGACACTTTATGGTTGAGCCATGCCCCAGCCCAGAAAACCATCAGCAAATAGAACAGTACTCAGCATTCAGTAAACATCCACTGAGGGCTGAGATGTGGTTCCATGGTCAAAGCTTGCCTTGCCACAAGTCCACAAGGGCTTTGGTTCCATCTTTACCACAGTAGTAAAATAAAATAAAATGTGATAATGCTAAAAGGAGAGGAAATTATGCACTTGGAATGCTGAGGGAAGAGGAGATGAATTCTCTACTGCTCTAGACCACATGAGATGGCATTTAAAAAATATATTAAATAATGCAGATGTGGCAACACACATCTATAATCCTAGCACTAAGATATTGGGGTAGTAGGATCAGAAGTTTGAGGCCTGCCTGGGCTATGGGAGACTGTCTGAAAAAAGGAACGAAAAGCCCAGGCATAGTGGTGCACACCTGTAATCCCAGGGAGGCAGAGGCAGGCAGATCGACAGAGCAAATTCCAGGACAGACAGGGATACACAGAGAAAGCCTGTCTCAGAAAACCAAACCAAACCAAACAAAAAAATAAGTAAAATAAAAATAAATGAATACAATAACATAAGGTAAAATTTTAGCCAGACTTGGTGGCATCCACCTTTAATCTTAGCACTCTGGAGGCAGAGGCAGATAGATCTCTGTGATTTTTTGAGGGGGGGTTCAAGACAGGGTTTCTCTATAGTTTTGGAAACTGTCCTGGAAATCGCTATATAGACCAGGATGGCCTCGAACTCACAGAGATCGGCCTGCCTCTGCCTCTGAGTGCTAGGATTAAAGGCGTGCGCCACCACTGCCCAGCTGATCTCTGTAATTTTAAAGCCAGACTGAGCTACATAGACAGTTCCAGGCTGGGCTACATAGTGAGATCCTGCCTCAAAAAAGCCCATAATATCAAAAATAAAGATGGAGATGTAGCTCAGCGGCAAGTCCATGCCTAGAATCTGCGAAAGCCCTGTATTCCATTCCAGTACTGAAGAAAGTGTGTGTGTGTACATATATATGTATATGTGTGCGTCTGTGTATGCATGTATGTATGCATGTATGTGTTAGGTTGGGAGCGTAGGCCCCAGTCCCTGGCAGGTATCTCAGCCCCCGGCCTGATCTGGACTTCAAATCCCAGCAGGCCAGGTCCTAAACACTACCACCCTGGGGGTAGGGTCAGGACCACTCCCTAGGGTACTTAAGTGATCCCCCAAAAGAAGAACACGTGGTCTCCCTGTCTTCCTCCCAGGGGTTGCGTTTCTGTGGCTTCCTGGCTTCCCCCTCAGGGCCACCCGAGAGCGCAGCTCTCCCATTAAACCTGGATATTTCTTAATTTGGCTTGTTTTGATTTGGCTTGATTGGGAATTTTTGCATCGTCAGGGAGCTCGCATTAGGAAATATTCCTAACATTATGTATGTGTATATGTATGTGTATGTGTTGGGGAAGACCACTTGTTTGTTCCCAGCTGCCCAGAACAAAAATAATCACACAGAAATCTGTATTAATTTCAATACTGTTTCGCCAATAGCTTAAGTATATTTCTGGCTAACTCTTATATCTTAAATTAACCCATTTCTATTAATCTGTGTATTGTCATGTGGCTATGTCTTACTGGCAAGGTTCCAGTGCATCTGTCCCCAGTGGTGGCTGCATGGCTTCTCTCAACTCTGCCTTCTTTCTCCCAGCATTCAGTTAATTTGTCCCCACCTAGTTCTATTCTACCCTATCACAGGTCAAGGCAGCTTCTTTATTCATTAACCAATAAAACAACACATATACAAAAGGACTTCCCACACCATGTATGTTTATTATGCATGTGAATATATGCAATGTCTGTATGTATGTGCATGCATATATGCGTATATGTGTGTATGTGTTTGCATGTACATATGCATGTTGTCTTAGTTAGGGTTTCTATTGCTTTGATGAAACACCATGACCAAAAAGCAAGTTGGGGAGGAAAGGGCTTATTTGGCTTACAAATCCACATCACTGTTCATCACTGAAGAAAGTCAGGACAGGAAGGAACTTACACAGGCAGGAACCTGGAGGCAGGAGCTGGTGCAAAGGCCATAAAGGGATTGATCCCATGGCTTGCTCAGCCTGCTTTCTTATAGATCCTAGGACCACCAGCCCAGGGTTGGCATCACCCACAGTGGGCTGAACCCTCCCATACTGATCACTAATGAGAAAAAAAACTTAC